TGGTGGCGGCGGTGGCAGCAACAATAAAGTTACTCCTTCTTTCTTTGCGTGAACATTTGGGTGGCGTTATGCAAATCTTCGCACACAGTGACGTAGACATGTGGGGGCGTGTTTAAACGAGGCATTTTAGGGGGGCGTGGACAAGTCTTAACTTTTATAAAGAATATCTCTTTGGGTTTGAGACTTTAGTCTTTGCAACTTTAGGGATCTTATTTATTCACGAACAGCTTGTAACACCCCAAAGAGAAAGGAAAACTTGAAATAGCATTATATGACCCCTTTAATAAATGTATTGTTATTGTTGTATAATTAATAAATTATAATTATTATACACATATATATAATTATTATTATTATTATTACTACTACTACTACAAGTTCGATTTTAAATATTTATATATGATTAAATTACAATTATTAAAAAAAAATCTTCATATTACTGAAACCTTATCTTCTCCTCCATAATGGCCAAAAACATTTGTTATTATGCAAATGTGAAACTAATTGAATAATTAATCTAGACTGCATTACATACACAAACTGCACCACAAAACTTCAGAGCACCAGAAACATATAACTTTTGCAATGTGAATTTAAACAGTTTGATTTGTCCTATGGACAAGACGAATGGGAAAACACTTCCAGAACCCAGACTGCCGAAAAAATGGGCATCACTGTTGTCTTAATAAAGACTGCTTTGATAAAACCTCTACACCACAGACGAACTACATGTCTGCATCTAGAGAGTGTCTACTTTACAAAACAACACTTCTGATAGCATAAAATACTGTTTCAGGGTAAAGATCAGCTAAACTCTAAACAAACAACACCGTAAAACGCCTTTGATTCTATATAACTTAAAATCTACACGTCTAGCACATGTAAACAGACAGGTGTCGCTGTGACTCACAGCTGGGTATTTGCGTGCTGTACGTCGATGCTTACAGACGCTGGAGCGCCGCATGGCCCTGCGTCTCTGAGGAGCAGAGTTAAAGAGCACTGAGATCATCCCAAAGGCCCTCAACCCGATCGTCCCCATCAAACCCTTCACACCATGAGAACTTGACCTTATGACTATATGCTGAGCTGACCTTTGCAGTGACAGACCGCCGTTTCATTTTGTCAAAGGTCATACGGTTTATTCACTGATAGTGTGGCACTGATGCAAAATGAAATCGCTGTTGCATAACATACCCTCAGAGTAGCTCTAATGCTTTTTTCCCCGTTTTTACATCAGCATAAACACAGCGTGACTATTGCTGAATTTCTGCTCCATTAGCTTGAGTACAGATCAATGCGTTTTTCACTGCTGCAGTTGCATTAACAGTATGACACTGCTGCATAAATATGTATTATGTAACGTTTATGTTGTAGTATATTTCCATTCATTTTAATGGGAAAGTGTGTATGAAAATGCACAGCTGCAGACATACCTCATTGAGCCGATCCACGCTGGCGGTCCCAGAAAACTCCCCACCCGATTCTTGATAGTCACCTAGAAACATAAAATTAATGTGCTTAATGCAGGGGGGTGGGGGGGATCACATATGCATCATGATAAAAAAACATAAAAACTAAAATCATTTCATTTATATTAATAAAAATTAGTATCGGTATACTGTATACTGGTATCGGTATCGGGCCCGATACCACACAGCATGTGATAAGTGCCATATTCAGACAAAGAAACACCGACAACAGACAGTAGAATGGAGTTATTAGAGATTAAGAATGTCTACGAAGTATATGTATGCAATGAATATAATGTTAAACTTTCAGTATTAACGCCTGTATAGCTGATGTGTGCGAGCTGATAAACAAAGCACGCTGAGTGGATTGAGCGCGCGGCGGCGCAGCCCAGGAGACTACAGGCTGTCATTAAGGCTAAGGGTTGCCTGACTAAGTATTGATAGTTGTGTAAATACTGTCATACTGTCTGAATAATTTTTGGTTGATTGTAATCCATTACATACCTTTCTATCAAAGTTATCTAATATTGTCAAGATGAATTTGTTCTGACACAGTTTAACTCTGAGTTCATGCAATATTTTATTACCATTTTCTAAACTATAGCGAATAAACTGTGATAATGTGAGAAATGTTGAAGGTGTCTGAATAAATTTTGAAGTTAACCAACTAACATTATACATACTCTTTTGGTTTCTGTACCCAATATTTAAAAAATTTCCAAATGCAATAAAAATATTGGTATCGGTACTCGGTATCAACAAGTACCAAAAATAAAAGTATGGTATCAGGTGAGTACTTGAAAAAGTGGTATCAGTGCATCCCTAATAAAAATTTAACTATTGATAAAAAAAAGAAAATAATTATAATAATTAAAATAATTGTATGAATTTTAATTAATTAATTATTAATTTATTAAGTATATAAATATATATATACATTAAAATATATATAAAACTTAAATTAATATATTTTTATTATTAATTATTAATTGATATTAAAATATTTATGTTGCTTAATTTATTATCTCAGATTAATCTGGATTTATGCAAAATAAAAAATATTAATATTAATAATATATTAGATATGTGTGTAAACTCAATTTATAAATATTAAATTAATAATTCATTTAAATAATATTTAATTATATATATTATTCTATATTACTTAATATATTAATATTACTACTAAATTAGTACAATATGTAGTATTAAATTAGCATTATAATATTAAATATAAGTATTAAATTATTAAATTAAGCAAATTACTATAAAATCAAATATATTTCTAAATAGCCAAGTAATGGTTATTTTAGAAGCCTATTATTATTATTGAAAGAAACCTAGTGTTAGACTTTTATTTGAACATGGGTTTTCATAAGTGTAAAACCCTCCACGGCCTGTGAGTCCGTCATGCAAACAGCATGGAATTCAGTGTAATTAGTGTTCCATAATCTCACACTGTTTGACACAGACCCTAACCTCCTCCGAGTCAATGGGGCTCCTTTACCGCTAATCCTATTAAAGATGTGAAAATCTCTGCATTTGGAAGATGAATGGAAAAAAAACTCCTTCCATCGGGCTCGGCTTATGCATTACAAAACCAAAGCATCTGGAAAAAACGCTTTGCATCACCCGCCTCGGGGGCCCAAAATACCCCCCTACAATCTGAGAGCGTGTCGGATGGGTGAAGATAATCCCAGCGTACCCTGGGCTTCCTCTGCCTCCGCTGTCTCGATTTTATCCATCAGATCGTTGGAGCTCCATTTGGTGATCTCCTTGGCAAAGATCTCCTCGTTGTCAGAGAAGTCCTCTGAGGAACAAGGATTCAGACTTTAGTAAATAACAGCTTGCCATGAGCACCTTCTAAAACTCAGGATCAATCCTGCATTACCATGAGCGTCAAAGAACTCGTCGTCTGTGCTGTCCTCTGAATCTCTGGCGATGCTCTGCATGCGCCATTCAGAAATGCTGTGACGTGAAGGACTTCCTGCACACATTATGAAAAAAATGCACAATGCATGAAAAAAAATAAAAATCACATATGCATCATGATTCTTTTACAAACTAATATGCATTGATGAAAAAGGGGAAAAAATTTAAATAAAAGCCATTTGTGATCACAGTTTGAAACCATTTTATCACAATTTATTATTAATTAATTATAAAAAAAATTACATATATATAATATATATGTATAATAATATACATATACACTTTTAATAAATTAATTTACATACATAATTCATACATTTATAATTTATAATATATACAATTATATAACTCAGTGTTAGGCTTGCCGCGATAGACGGTGTTGACGGTGATAAGCCGCAACACCGGTTACGTCACTTGCCCACCGCGTCACCGACCCCCACTGTCGTTTTGATTTTTTTATAGAAATAAAAATCTTTTAGTAAAGTAAAAGAACAGACACTACAATTAAAAACTGAACGCGGATGCTCAATGCAGCGTGCC